ATACGTATATTCAAGACAGTGCCTATATCAGAGACAGCAAGTTTGTATATATTTGTGTTTGAAGTTTTCTTCGTATGGTCTGTGGACGGTGGCACTCCGACAACATTATTGTCTTAGTTATTGAGTGAGGTCCTTGTCAACAGTGGTCTATGTTGCTGACTTAAGATATATAGGTTTGTTTGCATTAATAGTGTAAATTAATACACCTGTTGAAGTAATGAAGGTTGTTTCCTATGAAGAGAAAATGGTGAGAATGATAAGAGAATAATGAAATTATAAAGGGTGTTCCATAGATAGCCGCAACGCGAACGCATGCAATGCAAGGTGTATGTTTTGTGTTAGTGAAATGAAGGACGGTGGAAGGTTTGAAGAAATAGTTTCAGTGTGATGTACGATGGATATGGACGGGGCTTGGTCGTGCTTGAAAAAAGTGGCTGATGGAGAAAGCAAGCAAAAAGATAATGGGGTCACAGTGGGACGACTGGGTAAACCGGGGAATATAATGCTTTAGATATGAAATCCACGTTTAACAATTTAATTAGCTTTTATAGTTGTATATTTTTTAATTTCATTTTACGGTCAAAAACATTTCTTTTCAGTCTTTACATTCATACTAGGTTAGCTTTATCTGTATGAATTAAAAAGATTTTTTTTACATTATATTATACAGATAAAACGACTAATTGAACTTAGAATAAAAAGTTATATCTTTCAGGGAAATGATTGAAGTTATAAATAAGATATAGAAGTAGAGAAAAAAATTAATGTGAGAAACATAGAAAATATCATGCATATGACACGCAAATTTGTTAATATGCAGCGGGGAAAAAATGAAAAATATATATAATAATTTAAATGTATTAACACTACAAAAATTTTTTTGTCTTAAACAACATTCAATTTGTTCACGAATATATAAAGGAAAGATGAAAATTTATGTCCTCACGAGTACTTAGCATTTGATATGCTAAAGAGTACCCTAAATCTTTACTTAAAGCATTTTTTAAATTGTTTTGAATTTTTTTATCTTCTATATCTCTTTATTTAGATCGTCCCCGAACCCTTTAACTTCTAGCCTGTCAAAATATTCTTCTATATCTCTTTATTGTTTTAAAACTATTTTTCCCTCTTTTATTGTCTCTCCATCACACTTAAATACATTCTTTATATTTTTGGACTCCTTACATCATTTATCATAACGCTAAGATTACAAAATCTCTACTAACTTTCAAAATTAAACTTGATAATCCAATGAAAAATTATCCTAATAGTAATGACCCAATTGGCATTGGACTTACCACCACAATAATAATCATAATAATAATAATAATAATAATAATAATAATAATAATAATAATAATACTTATTATTATTATTATTATTAGTATTAGTATTAGTATTATTATTAGTATTATTATTATTATTATAAGAATAATAGAAAATTATTTCTTTATATCCATTTGCATAGTTTTTCCAAAATCAATGTAACATGTAAACAAATTTTCTAAGTTACATAGTGTATAAATATGATAAAGTAAAGATACATTTATAAAATTGAAATAGATATTTTCTATTTATCGGGCTCGATTTCTTGTGGAACCAATCAAAGAAATATTTTCTAGATTGATTACTTAATAATCGATTTAGAGTGTTTATGTTTTTATTTCTAATTTTTGAACAGCTGAACAAAGATATTTTATATCAGTTGCACTACAATTAGCTTAGAAACACACTCTACTTGATTCTAAGTTCAACCAATCTACAAAATTCAATTTAAATTATATCATTCCATATTTGTATATATATTTGTCTCACTTTAATTAATTCTAAAAACTCTTTTTTTTTATCTTTACAGCATACAAAACTTTATTGTCCTTTAAAGTCAATGACCACTCTTTGTTTTCGTCTTTATTTTCTTCAGTTTTCCTAACATTTATGGATGTTATGTTTTGTTCTTAGTGTTCTTTTTTACAACCTTAGCCCTACCTTACCTATTATATTTGTACTTTTCCAAAAACACGTTATCATTCATAACTTTAGGTCATATACATTATTGAAATAAAAATGCTTTCTAGGAATTGTATAATTGATGTGTTGGTTGTTTGTAATAATATGAATTATTCTTAGATTTTTCTTTTCAATAATGGAAGAGACTATGAATTGGGTTTCCTAGAAATTACTTTTGAATTTTATTATAAATGTGACGAATCAAATACAAACAACGGAAGAGAAAAATCTCAAATATTATCGCAATATAAAATTGAAAATATACTTGTTTGTAAAAGGTCTTTTATATAATTTTTTATAGTTAAATTATATCATATAAAAGGTCAATGTAGATGTAAAAAATGTAAAAGATCAAGATATTTCACTTTGAATTTACACATGCCATAAAAAAAATATTTTTATTTCAATTTATAGTACCATAATATAAAAGTTGTATGCTTATGTGGGGTAAATAGTAAGTCATGTATATATAATCCACATAATTGGTGTATGACGAGTAATTTATGTCGATTTTGTCAAATCTTATATAAAAACTCATGTTTAAGTTTGGTTATGATCATAACTGGCGTAAATAATTATCATATCTTGATAATAATTATTACCATTGTAAACATTGTCTCTCTTTTCTTTTTGTTTTATCTTTGAACCAAAACGTGTAGACCATAACTAGTTTTACAATAAAGTGGTATAGGTATAAAATATAGAATAAAACAATATACCTAATATTTGAATGAAATTATCTAATGTAACCTAAATGACCTGTAGCATATTTTCTTAACTAAGATTAGTAATACTCATAATTGATGACATGTATTAGTCACATTCAAATTAATCACCTTTCTTGTTATTCAAAACCAGAAACAAATCACCATATTATCTCAAAGTTTATAAATAAAATAATTAGTGTATCATTAAAAATTTCATTAACTTTCAGATAAATAAATTGTAATGATTTCGTTTTGATTTTAGTTTAAATTAAATTAAATACACTTGTAAGTGAATATATATATATAGCAATCGAGATTACAGCATAACGACGAACCATAAAAGAATAAGTTTAAAAAAGGTTTTGGAGTTGTTACCCTAGTTTATTATAGAAAAATTATGAAAAACTAGAAAATAAGATATGGTATATGAAAACTAGATTTTAAATTCGAAAGTCAATTTACATGTAGGGAATGTATTAAAATTCTATTGTGCATATCCAAAGATAGTAACTTTATTAAATGCAGAAAGGTAATATGGCTTTCAAAATGTTTAAGTTTTCCCAAAAATAAAACTATAAAGAAAAAAATAGTTTTTGGTTTTTTTGCCGACGTTTCTCTTATGTATTCTCAGGTAAAATAAGAAATCATGGTTACATAGTTATTTATGAAACTTCAAAATGATTTTGGAAAATAATTTGATGTTTTTAGTTTGTGAAAATTTTAATTTTTTTTGGTATTTTTGTCATGAGAAAAAAAAAGTACTAGGCCAACGAGGCAGATGGTCATACAAATACTCCTACCTATAAAATATTATTTATATTTAGAAAAAAAAAGTATTAACCAATAGGACGATGCGAATGAACACATAAGTACTCATATCTTTAAAATGTCAAAAGAAAAGACACTTTTATTATTTTTTAAATGTATTTCTTTCAAAATTTTAATTTATAATAATGTTATATTTATTTTTTGTTGGACAAGACACCAAAACAGAAACAAAATATATTTTTATTTTTTGAAATTGTTTACTTAGTTTTTTATTTTATTTTTTACAAAAAGAATTTTGAAAATGGGTGTTACACCATAAGAGAGATGGAACCAACACTAAAAGAAATAAGGAAAGATATTCTTCTAATGATTGATAGTTGTGAATAGTAAAAATAATGTCCCTAAAAGAAAATGTCAAAGTTAAGTGTAAACGAAAAGTGTCTACAATATAAAGACATGATATAATGCCTAAATCAAAAGAAAAAAAAAATAGAAGTAACATACTTTCAAAACTCTGCAACTACCTTTTCACATACCTTCCAAGTGCTCCAACAATTTCTTCCTTGGTAATTATGGTTAGGAGAGTCTCTCTTTCTTCTCCTTTTTACAATGGATGAGTATTTATACACACATAATAATATCTTTGTAATCTTATCTCAATTGTGAAGTTATTGACAATGAACAATATAAGAAATAATTGTTCTTAATAGTAATGTATTTTAAAAATTAATCAAATCAAATAATATATGAGATATTCATCTTAGTTTTGCAAATCATTAGAATCATATCTTTCTTTTAAAAACTACCGCAACAAATCATAGCATATATAATATCATATAATGATTCTAACTAAAATCACATTTCTTTTTAAATACTAAGATGTCATGTGAGAGATGCGACGAGGAAAGAGGCGGTGAGTATATGTATAGAACCCTTGAGAAGTTGGACTCATAAAATGGATTAAAAATAAATTGGACTATTTCATTTTATTATTATTTTTTTTCTTTTTGTGGTAAAATTAAAGTTTGAAAATTAAAAAAATATATATATTTTATTTTTTGGTTTTTTACCTACCATTAATTGAAAAAAATATTTTTTATTTTTTTATTTTTTAAAATGAATTTATTTACCTGGATAAGATTGGGTGTTGGCAATATACATACCTTAAAATGTAACTACAAACATGTGATTTCATTTGTGAGCTTGTGATGCAATATAACAAAAAGGGTTAAATATGTTTTTAGTTCCTCAACTATCAAGCGGTTTTATTTTTCGTCCCTCTTTCAAACTTTGATACACTTTGATCCTTCTCCTTAAGAAAACTATAATTTTTTGTCCTCCAAAACCAACGGTGTTAAAAATCAGCTTAGAAGGCTAACGGTGGCGTGCCACGTCATTTTCTTTTTCTGAGTCAATCTCTCCCGCCCTCTTCCTCCATGTCTTCTCTCCCTCCTTCTTCCACTCTTCCATCCGTCGTCGTATCACAAAACTCTTGTCAAAGATCGCGCGCATCAGCCCATGGACTTCTATGTCCTCAAGCTCCTCGGTGTCGACGAGTTCCTTGAGACTCTCGTTTCTAAGTATGAGGTTGTTGTTTTCACGCGACACTAAGGAGTAAGCGTCCATGGTGTTGGACAGGCTGGACCGGAATCGGTTCATCTTACATTGGATCTATGTGGTTCATGTCGCCACATAAACGAGAAGATCGTGAAGGACCTTAACGAAACTGGTCACGATCTCAAACGGGTGGTTATAGTGGATGATAACCCAAATTCCTTTTCGAACCAACCCAAGGATGCTATTATGATTCGGCCCTTCGTGGATGATATTTTCGACCGGGAGCTTTGGAAATTGAGAAGCTTTTTTGATGGGTCTGATTGCTGTAATGACATGAGAGATGTTGTTAGGCGCTATTAGCAACGCTAGATTTCTTCTTATTATTTTCATGGCAAATGTATATTTTGAGAGGCTTTCTGGAAGCCTGGAAATTTGGCATAGATGAAGCTACTAGTAACCAGACATTCTGCCTTTTTTCTTGTTTTGTTGAAACTCGACTTTGTATCCAGTTGGGTTCTTTGTTCTCATATAGTCACATCAGAACAGACGTTATTTAGAAACTAAAACTAAATTGTTGTATTTTTTCACCTAACACAATGTGAATCCACTTATCTTCACCATTGTAATGTGTTGGTTTCTTCCAAGTGCTTTTATAAAGGTTAACTTGCTTTTGAAAAAAAAGAAAAAAAAATTTTTTCAGTGTAGTTTGCTTGTGTAAGCACTATGGATAAGGCAGGAGGGGAGGTGTGGTGGTGGCGTCGTCGAAAACCAGGGTGCGGCGAATGACATTGAGTTGTTCTTCGAGTTCTTCTGTTGTTGTTGTGTTTTTTAGGATCTTGTAATACGTTGCTCTTTTTCTTGTCGGTGGTGCTCATGCGCATGATCTTTGAGAAGAGTTTTGTGATACGGCGGCAGATGGACGAGTGGAAGAAGGAGGGAGAGAAGCTGTGAGTATGAAGATGCAAGGAAAGAGATGGAGGAAGAGGGAGGGAGAGAAGTAGATGGACTCAGTATCAGCAAAAGTACAAATGATGTGGCACACCACTGTTAGCCACCTCAGCTGATTTTTAACGTCGTTGGTTTTGGAGGACGAAAAATTATAGTTTCCTAAAGGAGAAGGATCAAAGTGTACCAAAGTTTGAAAGAGATACGAAAAATAAAATCGCTTGATAATTGAGGGACTAAAAACATATTTAATCCTACAAAAAATGAATCAATACTTGACTCGTAGATATAATGACAATTAACTCCTAGTGAGTTCGACATGAAATGACAAACTAATTATATAAGTAAAATAATTAAAAGATAAATAATTATTCAAAACCAACTTGTTATGTACGATGTCAAAATATATATATATATATATATATATATATATATATATATATATATATATATATATATTTTTTTTTTTAATTTATTACACTACAATATATCATCATAATTCTAAATAATTGAGGAAGAAAAGGAATAAAACAATTATAAATATATGGAACAAAACATCCAACTTGGAGGGACAACCATGCAAGGTTTTTTGCCTTAACATTTGATTTCCCTAACAACATGCTATGGCCCACAATTGAACTATGAAAAAAGGGAATGCTTTAATATACACTTGTATATAATAAAGAAAGCTCATAACATTGAGGTTCTTACTAATATATTACTTGTCCTAATGCATCGCCATTCTCTTGATTTATATTGAATGTCATCTTTAACCTTTGATAAGGATGATTAGATTGTAAAACTCTTTGCTGACGCAAATATATTATTTTTCCTTTCATGTTTCAATTGACGAGCTACAAAGTTTTCTTTACATATAGGACATGCCTTATGACATTTGAAACTGTATCCTGACAAATTACTATAAGTTGGGAAGTCATTAATGGTGCAAAAAACATTACATGTATCACGAAAGTTTCAGAAGCAAAAACATCAAATATTTCAACCCCATCACCCCACAACAACATAAAGTCTTCAACATCTATATCATATCTAGGCTGTCTTAGACTAGACATCATCATAGACAACATCATATACTTTCTCTTCATGCACAAATCCCAGAGATAAGTTGTAAATGAATAATATAATGGGCCAACAACTATGGTTGGTACTTAAATTACCAAATGGATTCATTCCATCGGTAGCTAAACAAAACCGAAGATTTTTACATTCTTGACCAAACTGGGGAATTCATGATCAATATTTTTCCATTGCATTGAATTAGCTAAAGTGAGAAGCAATCTGTCACATCTTCCCTCATCTACATGCAATATAAGGTTTTTAGCGTCTTTTGGATTCGTAAACAAACACTTACAACTGAGCATGATTGGAAAGTATCAAACTACTCTGAAAGCGGGACCATCCTTTTCTATCTGACCATTGTCTTCACTTTTATTTTTCTACTTGTACCATTACAACCAACATTTTGGACATTTTTTCAAACCTTCAAATTCTTTCATGTATAATATGTAATCATTAGAACATGCATGTATCCTTTTATACTTCATAAAAGAGTTTTCTTAGCATCATATGAGTGGGTAGTGTATTTCCATCTGGAAGCATTTCATTCAACAACGTCAACAATTCTATGAAACTCTTATCGGTCCATCCTTTGGTTGCATTCAAGTTCATGAGTCTTAACACTGTTGAAAACCGTATGAACTTATTTGAACCAACATACAATGGAGTCTTTACATCAGTAGACATTGTCTCATACACATGCACTTGGGCAAAAACTTCAAAGGAAACCATCACAAATAAGGTGTTCTCCAATATTGGTTCCATTTAACTTTCTCCCATTCAAATAGTTGACACAGACATCTAAATTTTACTTCATCATCACTTCTACCCTCATTATGTTACGTAAATTTTATAAATTCTTTTATTCCTCAGTCAAACTCAACACTAATGCATGATAAATTAATCCAATTTTGATCGGTATGTATATATAATAAAATTATGTGACATTTTTTAGTAATCTTTAATGAATGATCACCTTAGTTTTGTATTCAAGGTGTGACCATATCCCATTCAAGAATCAGTTTATTGGTACATATCAATTATAAACAACATACCTCAAATTTCAAGAAATTTTACCAACATTTCGCATCGGTCTTCAAATCACACTAAATGAAAGTAGTTATCAACCACAATCAAAATTCACCTAAAGATAAATACAAAATAGAATTAAAAAATATTCATAAATTTTAAGATATGTATATTACAAATATATTTTAACTAATAAATTTTGAAAAAAAAATATTAATCTTCTTAATTTGTCAAACGAGATAATTCAAGATTCAATACATATAAATTATTAGTACCATATCCTGTTATATTAATTTTTAAAAATTACAAATTTTTCAAAAATTTTGGAGACAATAAATAATTTTTGTATTGAATCTCAAACGAGAAACTAAGGCTAACTCAATGTATCAATAATCTTAAATAGACAAAATAAATCAATACATTTAAGCATATAATTATCACACATCTAGCATATAAAAAATAAACAACATACTTATTTTGTATTTTTGGTCTTCTCTAAATCTTTTTACATAGTCATATTATTCTGTTTAATATTAAACTTAACATTTATATAATCCAATTACTTATAGTATGAAGTGCAACTTTTATTTAAATCTTAAAATTATAAGACATACATTCTAATAAACGGACATTCAACCCAATAAAAGGAAAATAGTTTTTGGGTCTAAATTTTGAAGGGGTCTAAATTTTGAAGGTAATAATATAGAAACCTAGGAGCATGAATGTGAGCAACAATGGAGGAGATGCAACAATATCCACCACAATGCAATAGTAATTGAACATGAATGACAAAAAAATAAAAAGAAAATTTTACAATTAATGAACCCGTGCAAGACACGAACATCACGAAAAATAAAGGGAATCGCGAACTAAGGAGACGAAGATGGTGGAGAGTGAAGATCTTCTAAAACTCGTATGCAAGAAGATGGTGGACAGTGGTGACCTCCTCGACGTCATGGCAACACACATGGAGCCAGAGGAACAAAGTTCAATGGTTATGAAAGGTGCAGTGGAGGAAGGTGTTGGGTCTATCAAGGAGGATGTTTACCGAGGAGACACAAATACCAATGAGATCTGAGCTCAACCACATAAGGGATTGATACCACTCTCTACCCAAAACCTTAAGGCAATGGGTTAATCGATCTTTCATCTTTATATAGTGCTATACTTTCTCATTTCTATCAAATGTGGGATTTAGACTCACTTGGATTTCCAATAGAAGGAAACAGAAAATCGCAAAGTGGAGGAAGGAAGAAGAAACTGTAGAAATGAAGTGGCGCCTTTATAGCTTTCATGAAATTAACCCTAGGTAGAGCTTTAGACATTAATTATTAGCAAAATTGAAGCCTAAAGGCTAATCGGCTTCGATTTTCCCAATAATTGAAGCCTAAAGCTCTACAATCAATGACAAATTTGAAATTTTAGTGAACTATTAACTCTTGATTCTTTAGAAAATGAAGCATAAAGATATTATAGGTCTCAGCTCCATAGGAACCAGAGCCTATTCCTCTACTATCAAATAAAGTAATTAAAACAGAGTGAGAATTTTGAAAAATTTGCCAACTTATATGCCCTAATTGTTTAGGAAACAAAAGCATATATGAAAATATGCTTTGGCTTTCCAACAATCGAGGCCTATAATCAAAGCATATAAGGCAATTTTAAAAACCTAATATGCACTAGTGATTATGCAACATATACAATATATGCAACACAATCATTGCATTTACTTGTCCCATTTTCCATGGTGAAACTTTATCTCCGATCAAATTAGACCATCTCTTTCCCTTTTTGTAAATGTAAATTATTAAGGTTGATATTCTATATTTTCATTATATTGTTGAAATTAAAAATCATGGTTAATTTTGGGTCTCATCATGACTAATGAATGAATATCTTGGATATTCATTATTATCTATTAATATTAGAATTTTGAAAAAAATAATAATTTAGGTATGAAGTATTAAATATATGATTTAGTTTAATCACTATTGAATTAGGTTGTTTTTTTTTGTCAAGTTTTATATTTTATAATTATGTAATTTAGATTATAAAAATATTTTATAAAATAGTACTAATTAATTATTTTAATCCGGATTGACTAATAATTTTGTTGTTATTCTATATATTTCATAGTATATAAACATTAGAAAGTTTTAGGAGATCTCCATGTTATACATTTTAGTCATACAACTTTAAAACATTTTTTCGTATATGTTTTCTGACGTTACGATTATTACATCTAAGAAATAATTTCATTGTATGAGGTCCATAAACAAATTGAGCATAAAGTAAGGAAAATGAGAAGT